TGTGGTTTTTGTTCTTGGTATTGCTGCAGACTAGGCAAGCAAAGATTTCAATCCAAGGGATGCTGGATTTTGCTTTGGTATTACATCTCCAAGCATAAAGTCACATGAGTTTAAACAATTTGGATAAGGAGCGCAAGGGTTACTGATGTATTGCTGCTGTGAGCAGGAGAATACTTTGTAAGGCACTGTTATGTCAGCTTCAGATGACACGCTACAGCTCTCTACAATGAATCTCTTCTTTTTTGTGGTTTTGGCCTAGTTCCAATCAGTGGGAAGTCCTCCACTGAATTTTTCTTTTTAACCTTGGATGCATGCATTGGTTGGGATAAGATTTGGGCACCTGCATCTCCAAGGTCCCAGGAGGATTCTCAGTGCCCAGAGCCCATTGGTCAAAGATCCCATGCAAGAAGAGCAGCCATAGGCAAGTTGGGCATCCAACAAGCACTTTTTTGGCTGTGCCATCAAAAGAAAGTCTCTCTCAGCAGGGCTTTTCCTACCTAGCCCTGAAGAGCTAGCAGAAAGGATGCAATTTGTGACAACACAATCCAGAGAATTTATTCCAGAGGAGTAAGTGAGTAATGGCATATACCTCAAAGGGTGGCATATCTGCCCATACTTCCAGAACTGCCTAATGATCTTGTCATTGAGTGGCCACTCATGAAGTATCAGGTTTAAATCAAGGCTGTTTCCACCCTGAAGCTTCTTAAGAAGCTGATCTGCACTTTGGACACAGTTTAGATTGAGGTCAGCACAGTAACTTGGTGTCAGTGACTGACAGCGCTTTGCCATAGGGCCATCAAGAGCTGGGAGAGATGGGGGAAGGGCTGGGTACTGGTGACACCAGGAGAACAACCCTGAGACCCTATTCTGGGAAGCTCCCCTTGTTCTGAATACCCCTTGGGGCCACACACAAACACCTCACCCAATTACCTCATGTAAGCTGGAGATGAAACCCGATGAGAGACTGGAGAGCCCAAAGCGCTTCTCGATGGTGGTGAGGCTGCTCTTGAAGTTGGCGCTGTAGAGGAGCTGGGACAGCTGGAGGAGGCCATGGCACAGCACAAAAACCTGTGGGCAAAAAAGTGTCAACCCAATCAGTACCACCAGCTGCCCTGCCAACAGGTAGCTGTTGGGCACTGTGTGAGGGGCTTGGGATATGTATGCACAGGGACAGAGGTGGGCAACTGGTCGACATGGCTGCACTGTTGGCATGCAGCAATGGTGCCATGGTGCCATACTGCAGCCAAAAAGGAGCTGCTCTGCTTTCCATTCCCCGAGACCCACTCCTTCCCAGTGGTCCCTTGAGTTCCCTTGGCTGTAAGGCAAATTGGCCGGGGTGCTGGAGGAAAGCATTTTTAAAGGCCTTAAACACCCCAGAGGGAAAGAACAAAACATGCCCAATGCTTTCTTGCTGCTGGAGGACCTCCGTGGTATTCTAAAAACAGCATCTTTCCCCACGCCAGTCTCGGAGCCAGGCCAGCAACCCAACCAAATGGACACGGAGCATCCCTGGAGTGGAGGAGGGAATATAGGAGCTGATGGGTCAGGGCAGGAGCATGGTGGGAAGAGACAGGGTGGCCGGCGAGAGGGAAGCATTCCTGGCTGGGGATGCGGAGGCAGCTCACCAGTGTCTTTTGATCTATATTTAGTCAGAACAGTTTTCCTTTATTTTCCTTGGAATGGAATGTGTCCTGTCTGGTGCCAGAAGTATTTTAAAATCATTTTTTTAAAAAAAGGGAAAAGGTCTTTTTATTTAAATTCACAGGAAATCAAATATTTGCTGAACACCGGAAGCGTGTCCCATGGAGATAACGGCAGGAAGGCCAGGATGATGGATGGGGGGATCAAAGGTACTGAAGTGCTGACAAATTCCTTATGTTCTGGACAGGGGAACAGCAACGCTCCTCAAGGCTATTTATTTGAAATGGCATTGGCACCCAGCAGCCTGGTCTCCTGGCATGAAGAAAGAATGAAATTGACCATGTCTTGTCCTTAAGGACAAAGAGGTGGCTTCTTGGGATGCTTCTTCCACAAGGGAAATGGAACCAGGCAGATGGCAGAGCTTGACATCCAAAAGAGTAACAAACAGAAAAGGAGACGAGAGCAGACATAATAACCTAGAGACAGCAGGGAAATAGAAGATGGATAGAGGAAGAGGAATGAGGGGTCACAGTGATGACCACGAGCTCCCCATTGGCAGAGTGTGAGCAGACACACAGAAGCACCATGTGCAGATACACAGACACACCATGTGCATAGTTGGCACTGTGTCAGCTGAGCAGGAGAGGGCAAGGTCCCAGGCTGGGACATTACCAACGCAAAATGCCTCCGTAATAATGTGGGATGTGACTTGGGAAACGGGGCAGATGACAAAATGGAAAAGGAACAGCTAAACCAGACATCCATCCACTCCTGCACCCAAAAACACCTCCGAGCACATGTCCTTCTGCTGATGGCTGGACCTACCCCTTCACTTTCCCGAGTCTTGGCCTGGGCTTGTGCGTAATTAATGAACCCAAGCAAGTTGGCCTGATGCAGAGTTGACTCTGAGGATGAGAAATGAAGAGGGGATCTTGCTGCCAGAGAACATTAATTTCTGTTCCCGCAGCTCTGGCCAGACCTTACTGAAGTCATTCGAATAAGGAAGCGTTAGGGAACCGGAGGAGAGCCGGGATCGCCTGAGATGTGGAGCAGCTCTCCCAGCACAGGCATGAGTGCGGTGCTCAGGAGGGAGGAGGGTGGATCATGGTGGCTGGGTTCAGCTCAGCGGTGTCAGTCTGCTCTGAGGATGAGAAGTGCAGGGGTTGGCAGAGGAGAGGTCAGAGGGAGGGGGTGAGCCCATCCTTTGGGTGGGCATTTGGGGAACGGAGCAGGTTGTGGCTCCTGGGGCTGGATGTGTGCCCTTGGAGCTGCCAGTCTTGGGGCAGCACTGCCCCACACCACCTCCTGCATCTGCCAACCCTACTCACGTATCTCCTGGCGCTCTCTCTCCTTTATTGCTTACATAAGATAGCACACTGTCACCACTGTCGTTGGTCTTAGCTGACAGCTAACTAAAAGTATGCTGAGACTGGACTTTAAAACAGGCTGTAATGAAAAACGAGCTGTTTCATAAGAGGCTTTTTGGGTTGGCATCATAAATGCAGCCAATAAAATGCTTGGGAAGTTGGGTGAAATGAGAAAAGAACATGAACCTGCCACGCATGTGCTGACATGGGTCAGAGTCAAAGCAAGGCAAGAAGATTCAGATCTCTTGTTATTTCAAAGAATGAAGTGTTTCTATGGATGGGAGCCCAGCACATTTCTGTGGTGAACAGGGCTCAGGAAGATGGTGGCTTAATGAATTTTGAGCTTATGGTTGGATACAATGACCTTAAGGGTTTTTTTTCATAGAATCATAGAATCATTTACGTAGGAAAAGACCCATAAGACCCGCAGACCCAACTGCAGCCCACCCCACCAGCCACTGCCCACATCCCTCAGTGCCACATCTCCACAGCTCTGAACACCTCCAGGGATGGTGACTCCACCACCTCCCTGGGCAGCCCATTCTACTGCATCACCACTCTTTCCAAGAAGAATTTTTTCCTAATATCCAGCCTGACATGATCCTTTCATTCTAAGGTGCTGCCAAGTGCAGCACGACCAGTGCCCCTTACCCTCTATGGCCTGGAGCAGTGAGCAGTGAGCTAAGGATCCATTATCTGCTTCCACAACTTCATGCCCTGATAACACCACTCCTTTCCAAACTTATTGCTCACCTTCTTCCTCAGTGTCTTCACTCTGGCAGCTCTGCCTGGAGGGAGTGTGCTGGAGAAGCAAACGAGTGCCAAAGGAAGGGCTTTCCCTTCCAGATGATGGAATAATTTGGGGGGGAAAAAAAACACAACAAACAGCATTGTTCTGAAATCCATTGCTCTCACTACATAGACTGAGCTACTTTGTACTGCTCTTAAGATGCCTAGAACTGATTGGAGCCCGACACAAATGGACATCAGTGGTCTCCCTCGGAGGCCCCCAGAAGCAGCAGCTCCACGTTCCAGTCTGTGCAACCTCCTTGCCCCGGCTCTACTGCTCACATATCAGTGCTAATGTGGGAGCAGCCCGGTTGCTAACGACTCGGATGGAAAGAGCCAGAGCCTAATTTATTAGATGGACACGACAGCTGCTTGGGGAGCCGTAAAAAGAAGCGGAGATCCTTGCAGAGCCCATCAAACTGCTCTCCACTGATTAATGACACCGAGGTGTGACGCGGCCAAGAGCGGGGAGACGCACAGTGAATCTGGCTGGAGTAAATATTTGGAAAGGACGAGGAGTAAGGACGCTCTGTGAGCTCTTTCTGTCCACACAGTGCTATTTGGAGGTGTATTTTGTGTTTCTGAGGGCCAAATCCAAACCTTCTGACTTCATTGGAAAGGGTCATCCATTGCTGGAGACCAACAGGCTCTGGCTGAGTCTTGGGAATGTTGGGTCGTGAATTTGCCCTCATTGTACTGAGATTCACCCCCTTCTCCCATTGGAGGGTTGGAGCAGCTCTAAATTTATCACCCAAAGCAGGAGACCCCAACCTGCCCATTTCACCTGGATATACACGGGCACACAGGGGGGAGATAGCCCTCTACATGCATGCCTACTGCATCTCTGTAGAAATAAAAAGGAGCAGAAAAACCCCACAGTTTCTATCGAGGGAACCAAATAGCCTGCCACACACCACGTTCCTCAGTACAACACCCCAGAGCCAGGAGTGTGGTCCAATGGTAAAGCTGGCTCCTAAATCTTATTTCTCTTGCAAAAAAATAAACAAATAAGCAAATAAAACAGCCGGGGATTGTCTAGAGCATGCGGCTTCCCTAGTGATTAGTTGCAATAACATCTACTGCCAAGTAATCCAAGCTTTACAACCACCAATTGTCAAGTGCAAAGACAATATTTGCTCTTCTCTCAGCTCAGGCACACGTGGGATTTGGCGGATCCTGAGCTCTGTGCAAGCCCTGCCTTGCTCAACTGCACAGGGAGAGGCTCCGGGGGAAGGCATGTGGCTGCCATGCTGTGCAGGTGCACTGCAGAATGAAGAAGGAGTTTTGGTGGGGGTCAGACCTCAGCGTAGAAGGTAAGGTCTTCACTCCTGGGAAGCACTTCTGCTTGCAATATCTGGTGCATGCTGCAAGCAGCCATCCCACTCCTGCAGGCAGACCAGCTGCATGGCTGGGTCTTCGCTTTCACTTTCTCTGTGCGCTGCCTGAGGCTCTGACCGCGATCTCCCGGAGGCAGCTTCAGATTCATTCTGTCTTCCCAACCCCACAGACATGTGCAAACACTCCTCCCACACACCCACAGCTCCCTATCAGCGACACTCCTCTCCTATTTTTCTTCTGATAATCTTATCTCCGCTGACCACTCCTTGACTGTGTTTGGGCACAGAACCACCTCACCCCTCATAAAATTGACTCGCTTCGTGTCTCCTAGACCTTGATCCCACTAAGCTTTCCAACCTGTTCTATCCTCTGGCTCTTCCCCATCTTGCTGCTGATGTTCTTCCAGGCACTTTTTCCAAGTTAGAATGCAATCCCGTGAAACCCAGGTAAAACACAGCCTTGGATGCACAAAGCCTGGAACCACAAGTGTTGAGGACCCCACTTGCTCCTGGTGCTTCTCACTACTTGCCCTTCATCCTGCTGCTTCTTTACCACATATCTCTCCAAGGCACCATCCCTCCTTGCACAGCACCCGGTACTGGAAACACCCCCTGATTTTCTTGATTGGTCTGGTGGCTCTGACACATCATGAATGCTCAATGCTTTGCTCGCATGCTTGACAGCATCAAGCCATGCTGTCTTCAGGATAAATGCCACTGATTCGATGCATCTTCTATTCTGGACAACATTTCAACAGAGACTCCTAATCTCTTCCAACAGGATGCAGGAGCACAACAACTCCTACATCTCCTGTCTTCTGAAATGCACTCTCCTCAACAAATTCCTTCAGTTCCTTTGAAGAACAGAACAACACTTGCCCTGGCATTGTTGGGACCTCAGACCCCAACGCAAGGCTTCATTCCTCTCCTGCAGAAGACCCCCTGACAGTTTAGAGAGGGGAGATCTACCTACTCTCAGCTTCTTTCAACTGACACTGGTGACAGTAACCCTCTGTTGTCCTTCTGGCTCCTCTCCCACTCAACACAGGGTCAATACCTCGTGCCGCTTGCTCCCCAGTGCCTCCCAGCTGAAATCAGCACAGCTCAGCTAAAGAACAGGATATTTAGAGAGCCCTCCTCCTTGGCATGTTCCTGGGGACCCAGGACAAACAATTAGCTACCAATTAGATTAGTGCACAAAAGACAATTAAGACAATTAAGGCAAAAAGAGGCTGAACCATTTGTAGTTGGAAAGAGGCACTGCAAATAGATAACGACTCAAAAAGAATCCTAATTTTGGGCAAAGTGGTTGGCATGATGTTGGAAGGCATTTTGCACCCTGTTATCTTTCTTTGAGGCAATGAGAAGCCAAATTCTAAAGGGCTTCAAGCACCCCCATGTTCCACACAGAGAAACAGGGGCAGAGATCAGGTTGCTCCAGAGAGGGGATACAAGGCAGACACCCCATGGGCTGCACCAAGTGGTGCTGCTCAGTATCGCAGCAGGGAGCCCCAGAGCTATTGCAGTCTGGTCATTGATTCCTATGCACAACACACAGTAACTTTCACAGAGCCAACCAGGAACTGCCCCCAGCCGTGTCCCCGTGGGGCACAGCACTCACCTGGGATTGCATGCCAGCACCTCAGCCACAGAGCATCTCCTCCTGCATCCCAGCAGGGCTGCCACAGAGCTGCCACCCCATCCTGCCTTTCAAATCCCTGCAGCCTGCTCAAACCCACTGCTTTCCACCAGAAGCATTCCCTCTGCATTGACCACAGTGCTGGGAAGTAGCAGGGGGGACCTCGCTGGGACATTCCATCCTTCTGCCCTCCTACATAACCCAGACACAAACTTTCCCCAACACACTGCCTGCAGCACACCAAGATATTTGTGCAGATAGGATGTTTGCTGCACACCTTGTCCTTCATCTCAAAACAGCTTCCCAGATCTAGAAGTTCCATCCTGATGCTTTTGTTTTCTGCCCCTTTTTGGGGAACTGAGAGCACTGTCAGCCTCCACTTTCTTTACTGCCTTGAAGCAGGGTTTGTTTTTTTAAGGCACGCATATTTTTAAAACAAACCTTGCAGTGCAGGAAGAGCGAGCAGCTCAGGAAAGACATCACCTGTCACTTTATACACATCTGATCTTAAAACCAGGAGCTTTTCCCCAACGCATGGCTCCATCCAGACAGTGCACATCACCCCTCTGATGTGCAATGACAAACCCCTGCATGCTAATGGTATGGGAGTGCTTTGCAGCTTTACCCACTGGAGCAGCCTGAAGGACACTGGGACACTTTCTGTCCCCTGTCCCATCACACATCAGCAGTTCCACACTATGTTCTGTTATATGGGTCTTTCCAGCCAGCAAGGGCAATTGTGTCACCTGCTCAGACAGCAGCAGCAGGGACTTCGGGATGCAGGACTGGGAGGACCAGCTCCCTGTGTGCTGCTGGCGCGCTTGCCTGTGACCCCAAAACATCAGCACTTGACAGCAAACCAAACTCCTCCCCACTCCAGCCCTCATTCTCCGGTTTACTAAAGCTGCTCTAATCCAAAAAGCACTGCAGACGTGTGCTCAGTGATGCTGCTAGGGAAGCACACCCAGGGATGTGTCCCCCACCAGGACCCCAACATTGCACCCCGCTGCCTCAAGCGCTGCGAAACAACATGAGAGAACCCCACAGCCATCTCCACCGCTCCCAAAGCTGCCCCGCTCCCCGCCAAGAATGGACGCAGTCCTGGGGCAGCACTTTGCTTTCGCACCAGGATGTGGTTAATCATTCCCCAGCAGCAGCACGCCGTGTACAGGACGCAGCACATCATGCTGCTTTCACCGAGCCCCGGTGCTCTGCAACCTCATCTGGGGCCGGGGTGCAGGATTTGCTCTCTGCCCCTTTTTTATCAGCCTTGGTCTCAGCACTGGTACCGCATCTGTGCCAGCCTCCTCCTCGCGCATCGCCGCTCCTTACCTTGATGTTGCAGAAGATACCACGGGAGCAGGTGCTGGAGCTTTTGGGGGCATCCACTGGGGACTTGGCAGCTTCGGGATGGACCCCCATGGTGCACCCCAACAGATACGCTCGTGAGGGCTCCGGCCCGTCCTGCTCCGAAAACGGTGAGCCGATGAGTGAGCCAGGCAGCGTGAGCACAAAGTTTTTATAAGTCCACACTCGGGAGCGATGATGAAACCCTTTCTCCTCCCTCTTTTCCTTTGGGTGTAGAGGGAACTTTAAAGCTGCAGGAAGCCAGCGCGGGCGCGCGGTGAGCCGGTGGGAGCCCATCGGGTCTGGGTGTTTTGGGGATGGGGACTGCAGGAGAGATCCCTCCCTCCGGCAAGGAGTCACAGAGTGAAAATTAACCCAACCTCCTCCCGCCCTTCTTGCGTGGAAGAATGGCGTTTGTGTGATTCCTGGGAGCTGTTTTAAGGAATAGATCTCCAGGGCTTTGTTTATGCAGAGCACTGATTTATTGTTGCAAAGGAGAAAAAGTGTCAGAGGGAGAAGGGCTGGGGGAGGGGGGAGAAGTTGGCTTCAGGCGCTTCATCAGAATTATTTTCCCTATGTAAAGTGAGGAGAGAGTGAGCCAGATAGGTTGTCCAGAGCCTGGAGACCCCAAATCCCAGATCGTGGAACAGTGTTGGAGGGCCAACACTGGTGGGTCCTGAGGAGGGGGAGCCCCTGCCCAAGCATGTGGCAATGGTAGAGCAGTGTCAGGGTGGGTGTGACCTCTCTCCACTGGTACAAGTTCCCCAAACAGGGGGGTTCCTGGCAAAGGAGGGCAGAGGAGGTTGGAGGAGACCCAGAAGCACCCAGTGCCACCCTCAGGTGCCCGCTGGCCACGAGAGGGGGCCTGACACCATGGGAGAGGGACCTGCGGGCTGCCCTCAGCTGCAGAGCTGTGGGGAAATCAGCACTGATATGGGATAACTCTTTGGGGTGCTGCCTTCCCCATGCCCTGCGAGCACTATATGCAGGGACACGTGGGTACTCCCAGTCTGCAGTACAGCAATCATCTTGCTTCCCCACCTCCCTTTCTCCCCAACTGCCACCATTCCCAGATTTACTGGCTCTGAACTCAGCCCCTTCATCCACCTCTCCTCCCCCCCCTCCTCCTTAATAGATGCGATGGCTATGAAGTTTCAGCATCACAGCAAAGAAAGAAAGCCCAGCTCTGTGACACTCACAGCCCTCCACTCCCCACCTCATCACCCCATGTGCTGCCAAAGCCATTTTCCAAGGGACACCTGGCCTACTGGCAAGCAGCTCCAGCACTTCAGTTTGTCCTGCACAGATGCGTGATGCTCACTTTGCTATAACAACCTCATCTTATGCACGTTCCCCTCCAAGCAGAGGGATACTGTCATGGCCATTCCCCTACAATGCCCCCAAAGATGTGTGCTCAGCCCCTGCCCAGCCCACCCAGCACCACAGGGCACCATCATGCTCCCAGCCTCTATCTCACTGAAAGGGAAACTCCAGCTGTGATCCCCTTTTGCCTTTCTCTGAGGAGAAAACAAGGCTTGTGCCTCTGTTTGGGGATTCTGCACTGTGTTTTATCTCTTCCAGTGTTACAGCTTTGGCTGCTGATGAGTGCACAGAAGGACTGTGATTTATGGCGCTGAGAAGGGGAGGGAGCTTGGCTGCAGATCCTCATCTTGGTGCTTCATTAGGCGATACTTCTGATGTCCTGGGTCTGGCAGGAGAAGCCCTGTGCTGGCAGATTCAGTCCATTTTATGCAGCTACCGGGGTCAATTTTCTTCTTTGGCCTTTGGGATAGGCTCCCAGGGCCAGAGGAGTGCAAGGCCAAAGCATAAACTGGGAGGAGACCTCAATGCCACTGTGGGGCTTTTTATCACCCCTCACCCTCCCCCCCGGCCATGTACATCGTTCACTGGGGGGATGGTCACCTTGCTTGCATCAGAGCCTCAAGAGCTGTGCCCTCTCTGCAGGAAAAAACGGGTCAAACTCTTTCAG